TAGTAATTAAACGTAAATTACATTCATTACAAATTTCACTTCACCATAAGAAGCAGCGCAGCTCAGTCGCTCCTCTCCTCCGCACCTGCATGCAGACAGACAGCAAACGGCTCGTTTAGGGAGAAGTTCTGCCGGAGGTAGGAGTTGACAGCTCCGCCCCTCTCTTCACCCGAGTGTCCAAGACATGCGGCCGCAAGTCCGAAGACACAACTACAAAGTCGATCATCAAACTGCGGCCTAGGGTGTCCTGGTGCCAAGTGCACATATGAACCCCCTTATGCCTGAACATGGTGTTCATTATGGACAATCCGTGATGAGCACAGAAGTCCAACAACAAAACACCACTCAGGTTCAGATCGGGGGGGCCGTTCCTCCCAATCACGCCACTCCAGGTATCACTGTCATTGCCCACATGAGCATTGAAGTCCCCCAGCAGAACAAGAGAGTCCCCAGAATGAGTACTCTCCAACACCCCTTCCAGGGACTCTAAAAAGGGTGGGTACAATGTACAGGTGCCCAGCCAGGGGGCAATAAGTACGCCCACCCCCGCTCGGCGCCTCTCCCCACAGGCTGAACTTCACAACCTTGCGCACCATCTCAGGCTCCTTCCCCATCAGAGATGTGACATTCCATGTCCCAAGAGCTGGCTTCTGCAGCCGAAGATCGGACCGCCAAGGTCCCCGCCTTTGGCCACTGCCCAGCTCACAACGCACCCGACCCCTATGGCCCCTCCTATGGGTGGTGAGCCCATTGGAGGGGGGACCCACATGCCTTGTTCGGGCTTTGCCCGACCAGGCCCCATGGGTATAGGCCTGGCCACCAGGCACTCACCATCGAGCCCCACCCCCAGGCCTGGCTCCAGGGGGGGCCCCTGGTGACCCGCGTCCGGGCAAGGGAAAACGTGTTTCCATAATGTTTTTCTTCATAAGGGGTCTTTTGAGCCGCACTTCGTCTGGTTCCTCACCCAGGACCTGTTTGCCTTGGGTGACCCTACCAGGGGCATTAAACCCCGGGCAACTTAGTTCCTGGGATCACTGGAACATGCAAACCCCACCACCATGATAAGGTGTCGGCTCCAGGAGAAGGAATCGTGACACCAATGTTGGCAAACCTGTAACAGTTTGCAACAAAGAGGGCTATTTCGTCTGATTCAAAATTTTCTCTACTATTTGTCTGGAAACAAAATAAATTTCTTGGTACTATGGAGGACACCCCCTCCCCCCCAGTGGTGTGATGTCTCAGCTTGATAAAAGGGGAAGTTCATAAACGGAAGAAAGTGTATTTCACAACACCTTGTGATAAATAAGGCTCATTCTAAGGGAGCAGCGCTATATTGTGAGGCTGCTTACACACCATGCTGTCGCTTAACTCCTCAAGCTCCAACCACACCATCTTCAACAAGGNTCTTTTTGTCTTTACGAAAACGACAGCCAGTTAATTGAATGCTCCTAGAAATCACGCCTTTGAACTTTCGAATTTAACCTACTTTTGGCTAACATTAGGGTAATATTACTCTGATTGTCGCCACTGGCATACAAGCCATGTACTAGTAATTAAACGTAAATTACATTCATTACAAATTTCACTTCACCATAAGAAGCAGCGCAGCTCAGTCGCTCCTCTCCTCCGCACCTGCATGCAGGCAGACAGCAAACGGCGCCGAGCTCGTTTTAGCGCTGTGCTGTAGCTACGTTTTTGGGGGACCTAAGATTGCTTTTACATTTAGATTACTCTCCGTGTATTTTTTGTTTCAGTGACTGGAGCAGCTTCGGGACGCTGTGGCGATTGCTTTTTATGATTAGTGTTGTAGAGACTGAAAAGTTAGGGGGGAGGGGACCTTGTAGAACAGGTGTTGTGCCGAATTCTGCACCCCTGCCGTGAATTCGGCACATCACCTGCCCTTCTCTCACATTCGCGCAAGAAATCTTGCGGCAAATCTATATTATTTCATTATGAATCTAAAATTAGCTACGGCAAAAGCGTTGGGGCAGTTTGCAAACCTTACGGAATATTTACAAGGTAATAAAATGCATGTGCATACTTATCTCGAATTGGAAATCTCGCTCCAGCCAGCTGACTAAATATCATGCCCTGGAATCCCCGTGTTATTATAGCTGTTGTGTTAATTGGAATCCCCGTATTAGTTTTGTTAATTGCTGTTATGTATTTAAGTGCATTTTCTGTGTGAGTTTCCCCAGTCCGGTCATTAATGTCAGTTACTTATTCATGTCTGTTGTTCCGTGTTCTCAAGTGTCCCCCCCCCCCCCCCCCCCCCCCCCCCCCACAATAAACCCTACGTTGCCCTGACTCCCTGGACTCTTAATTCTCTGCCATGTTTCTGCGAATCGTGACACCAAATTTGGCAATCCTGTAAAAGTTTGCAACATAGAGGGCTATTTTGTTTCATTCAAAATATTCTCTGCTATTTGTCTGAAAGTAGAATAAATTTTCAGCTTATTTAGGAGTGTCTTTTCTTTCTTTCCTTTACGAACTTCCCTTTTTATCAAAGTGAGACACCCCCCACCCCAACCCACCCCTCCTGGTGGGAAGTCTCAGCTTGATATAAGGGGAATTTCATAAAGGGAAGAAAGTGTATTTCACAACACCTTGTGATAAATAAGCCTCATTCTAAGGGAGCAGCGCTATATTGTGAGGCTGCTTACACACCATGCTGTCGCTTAACTCCTCAAGCTCCAACCACACCATCTTCAACAAGGGCAACATCGGCCCATGCACGATTGTGGGCCTCTGTTGTTTGGTGGGCATCTGCGGTAACATGGGAGTTGTCATGGTGATAGCTCGCAAGTTCAGGAGAGGCGACAAGAACTTCACCCTGAAACTGGTGCTGAACTTGGCCATGGCTGATCTCCTGTCCCTCGTCACGCTGCCTGTGTGGATCCACAGTTGGCTGTTTGGCTGGGTGCTAGGTGTCAAGGCCTGCAGATTCTTCTCTTTCTTGGTCATCGGCAGCCTGTATTGCAGCGTGCTGACGGTCACCCTGATGAGCGTACAGAGGTACCTGGCAGTCCTCTACACCAGGCAGTGGATGAAGCTTCGTGGGGCTGGGGAGAGGATATTACTGGCTTCTCTGTGGGGGCTGTCAGGGGTCCTGGCTTGTCCAGCCCTTGTGCTAGGAGATGTGGTTGGGGAGGAGATGCGTTGCCGTTGGAAATACAGCTCAGTGGGGGAAAAGGTGTTCACCAAATCCATGGAGACATTATGGGGCTTCATCGTCCCTTTCACCATCCTGGTCACTTCTTATGGATGTCTTCATCATAAGGTAAATGATACTGCTTTCTTCAGCAGCCCCAGGTTGACCAAACTGGTGACAAGTATTGTTGTGACCTTCTTCGTCCTGTGGTGTCCTCTTCACGTTGTCAATATCATGGGCATCTGTGGCCTCCTGCTGAAGTCCGAGTACCTGAACAACATCTGCGAGACCGGCTGGGCAGTCACTCAGGCACTGACGTTCATCAACAGCTGTGTGAATCCCTTTCTCTATGCCTTTGCTTTCCGGAAACGTAACAAAAAGACGGAGCAGTCCACACAATCAACGCAGTCCAAGATAACACAGTTTACTTAAATATACAGTTCGTCATGCTCATTTGCAGTGTTCATTTTATGAACTCTATTATTTAAATCCATTTCCTAACCAATATTCCCGGTAAGGATTACAGTATTAAAATGCTAAAGCAAATTCTCACCATTGCTGTAATATTCAGCTCATTTTTTTCTTTTCAAATATTTCAGTGTTTATGCATTTAGTTTTTATTTGTTCCGTCTATACAATATCGGAATCATATTAATAATGACATTGTAACAATCATGACAATGATTTAAGAGATTTAAATTTTTGTTTTTTTTGTAATCATCTGATAGGCCATTGTCATAGAACCACAACAGTGTTATTTGAGCGTAAATAATACGTAGAAAGTGAAATGTATTTTTATGGTCCTTAACATTTTTGAAGGGGGTGACTTCTCTTATTAACCGTGACACATAAAGTGAAAAGATTACTATCCTCTCTAATAACATCACCTAAAACACCATATAATTATCAGTAAGAGTGATACTAATGTTGAATTGCCATTAAATGATTATATGTTAACCTATCTGCTTCATATCATGTAGCATGTCTTCTATTGCAATAATAAAATAATAAACATTTTTAATGAAAAAATACCATTATAGTACTGTATTATTTATTGTTACCTCGTTAATGTTTCCTAATTAAAGAAAGCATTGTAAAACAAAGCCTTGATCTACATTTTAATCATTTTAATGTGTTATGCTAAAGACATTTCTAATACTTTCTAAATGCATTACATACACTAATGCTTTTATCAAAAGCAATGTACAGTAGAGGGAATAGTTACAAATTACAAGCGATCCCTGGGACTTGAACTAACAACCATTAGAGTGCTTAGCAGGACGCTCTTTTTACTGAGCTACAGGATGAAGTGAAAA